CCAGGCAAGCCTTGAACTTGTGACCGTTCTGTCTTAGCAGATGGGATTACAGGTCTTTGCTGCCATGGCCAGATGCAGGGTTTTTTTTTATTCTAAATTTTATTTTATGTGTAGGGGTGTTTTGCCTGCATGTGTCACATGCACCAGAAAAACCAGAAGGAGGTGTCAAAACCTTGAAACTAGTGTTAGTGACAGTTGTGAGCAGCCATGCAAATGTTGGGAACCTGGTTCTCTTGAAGAGCAGCCAGTGTTCTTAAGTGTTTAGCCTCCTCTCCAGCCTCCCTGTGTGTGCATGCTCCCTGGACTCAGAAATCTGAGGCAATAGGATTTTGAGAGCAAGTCCAGTCTGGGGTTCACAGTGAGACCTCCTGGAGCTAGCCTGTGACACAGTGAGACCTTATGGAGCTAGCCTGTGACACAAAGTACAGACTGTACATGTAAAGTCCAGATACCAGGGGCTGTCTGTATAGCTTTGTTAGAACACTTGCTTAGTCTGCATGAGTTCCTCAGTTCAGTCTACAGTACCACAGTAAATACATGAATAAACAAATAAGCAAATAAAATCCAGCTGGTGGCTGGAGAGGTAGTAATCTTCTTATATCCATTTTTCCTACTGAGAACCAGGAAGATGAAAAGATGAAATATGGGTTGGTGAGGTGGCTCAGCAGTTAAGAGCACTGACTGCTCTTCCGGCATGAGTTCAAATCCCAGCAACCACATGGTGGCTCACAGCCATCTGTAATGAAATCTGATGCCTTCTTATGGGGTGTCTGAAGACAGCTATGGTGGGTGTACGTACATATAATAAATAAATAAAAAAACCTTTGGGCCAGCTGGGCAGTGGTGTTGCAGGCCTTTAATCCCAGCACTTGGGAGGCAGAGGCAGGCGGATTTCTGAGTTCGAGGCCAGCCTGGTCTACAGAGTGAGTTCCAGGACAACCAGGGCTATATAGAGAAACTCTGTCTCAAAAAAACAAAATAAAACAAAACAAAACAACCCCCCCAAAAAACAAAAACAAAACAAACAAACAAAAAGATTAAATAAATCTTTAAAACTAAGAACTTTCTGGAAATAATGATGCATGCCTGTGATCTTGGCAGTCATGAGAATGAAGGTAGAAGGATATCTCAAATTGAGGCCAGCCTTGGCTATAGGTTCACTTTAAGACCCTGTCTCATAAATTTTTTCTTTTTTTTTTTGTTTTTTTTGTTTTGTTTTGTTTTTTGAGACAAGATTTCTCTGTGTATCTCTGGCTCTGCCTCCCAAGTGCTGGGATTAAAGGTGTGTGCCACCACAGCCTGGCCAGATTTTTTCTAATTAAAAAAGAAAAACTAAGATCCAGATCTAAGATGGTAACATATACCTATAATCTAGAGAACTAGAGGTAGAAGGATAGATGGATTCCAGGCTGACATGGGCTGTGTTGCAAAATTGTCCCTAGTAGGGATGGGCTACATCCTTACCTATTATCTATCTATCTATCTATCTATCTATCTATCTATCTATCTATCTATTGACAGCTCTGACTGTCCTGGAATATAGGCCCAGCTGTCTTAGAACTAACTGTATATCTGACCAGGCTGTCCCAGAACTCACAGAGATCTGCCTACCTCTGCTCCCTTAGTACTGAGTGGTACACACTTTTGATCTCAGCACTAAGGAGGCAGAGGTAGGCAGAACTCTGTGAGGATATAGCATAGTGATGGAGGACTTGTCTAGCATACGCGAAACCCTGGATTCAGTTTTCAGTGCACACACACACATGCACACACACATACAGACACACACACACACACACACACACACACACACACACACAGGGAACAGAGAAGAAGATGAAGAGAAAAATGAAGATGATGAGGAAGAGAAGGGGAGAAGAAGGATTGTTGCTCAACGGTAGAGAATTTGTCTAACATGCTTGAAACCTTGCATTAATTAAAAAACAAAAATATCTTGGGCTGGTGAGATGGCTCAGCGGTTAAGAGCACTGACTGCTCTTCTAGAGGTCATGAGTTCAAATCCCAGCAACCACATGGTGGCTCACAACCATCTACAATGAGATCGATGCCCTCATATGGGTGTCTGAAGACAGCTACAGTGTACTTACATTACATATAATAAATAAATAAATCTTTAAAAAAAATATCTTGAAAAACCAAAAAAATAAAAAATAAAAAAAAATAAAACCATCAGTCAGGGCTTATGACATTTTTGCTTCTTTTAGTCAAAGATGAACTCTTAAAAGTCAAAGTCCTGATGACCAGATCTCAGATCTGTGGCGGTTCCGTGAAGAGGCCAGTAAATCCACCTTGCCCGCTCATCTACCTGATTCCTTCATCAGTTTGCAGTAAGCAAGCAATCCTGTGATGTGTGGTGTACTTAGAAACGGAGATCTGGGGCCAGGTCTCGTGGTTCACACATGGAATCCCAGCACCTGGGAGGCTGAGGCAGGAGGATTAGGAGTTCAAAGCCCCACTTAGGCTACATGGTGAGTTTAATGCCAGCCAGGGCTACAGGAGACTCTTAAAAGGAGAGGGGGTTAGGGAGCAGAGCTTGGTGATGTAGTACTTGCCTGATATGCATGAAATCCTTGGTTTGATTTCCCTATACTGCAAAACAATGAAAAATAATAATAAACAGGGTTGGGGAAGTAGCTTGATGGCAGATTCCCTAGCATGTACAAGGTCTGGGTTTAATCCTTAGCACCAGGGGTAGGGTTGAGGGGAGGGACCCAAGGCAGAGCTGTAGCCAAACAAATAAAAGTCATCAAAGGTTAAATTTTATTATTTAAGCACAACAGAAACAATCTCGTTAACAGAGAAATATAGTGAAAATAATTCTTCAAAACCATTAGAACCCTTACTCTGTACTGGAGATAGGGGTTAGGGGTGGGGAAGTGGGTGGAGCCTGGTATAGAAAATGAGTAAGAAAGGCTTCCAACGGCTGGTGAGCTGCATTCGTGAATAGGAGAACGTGCATAACGTTAGTTGAGTAGCATAGTTCCAGTGACACCCATTATATTGGACATGTGTACAGATCTATCTGATCAGTTTCTAAAGGGCTTTGATGGCCACACTAGGGTGAGTGGATTTTATTTTATGGCCACTGTAGGCCCTGAATGGTTTTATGGTAAGGGAATGACAGAAACAGATTAGCTGCAGTTCCTAAAATCTTGTCACCACGTATCTGTTTTGGGAGAAGTTTGTAAAAGATTGTATCTTTGACAGCTTTCAAGAGCTGATCTTCTCTGAGGCAAGCTCACTGATTGTTTCTCTGTTAAATTTACTCGTGTTTGGAAGAGCATTAACTTTGTCTGTGTCTATTGAGAAGATGTAGACACAAGTCTGATAAGTCCTATGTAGATATCTATGGGCCAGAGTCAGAGCTCAGCGATGGACACGTGCTCTGGCCTAAGGGAGTCAAGGAAGGCCTCCAGGAGGAAGTAGTTAAGAAGCTAGTTTTCTGAAAGAAGTGAGCAATCGGGCAGGAAGCTGGAACTTCGTGAAATATGGACTCTGGGCTGTAGTACAACCAATTTAAGCATATCCTCAAACAGCTTACAAGTTAATGAGTCTCAGACTACAGTTATTTTATTTGGCTTTGAAAATTACTGGGGGTAACCCATAATCTACTCTTCTAACTGCTGGCCTAGCTAGCTCCCCAGGAGTGTACCCCTTGGTTGTTTCTCCTGGCCATGTGCTCATGGTCCATCTCTTCTCATGGCGGACTCCTCCTCTCCTTTCCTTCTTCCTCCTTCTCCCCTGGTCTCTCCTCTGTCCTCTCTCCTCTAGACCCTCAACTAAATAACTCAAAACTCACTGACCTCTAACCCCTCTGGTAATTGGCTGTAGCCGATTTTATTTAACCAATCATTTTAAATCAAGGAACAAGGAACACAAGCTTGTAACCCTGAGAATTCTCTTGTAGGCCTGGATCTTTCCATATAGAATTTAGCATTACAATCCATAGCGACAGACAAAACTTCAACGCTGGGCTATTTGTCTACAGGGGAGGGTCAGGGCCAGACAGTGGAGAGCTTCATGTGCCCACATCCTAAGGATGATGTCAAACCATTAGAGGGCTAATTGATGGCTAGATGAAGAAACCATGTTGGAAGTTTGTTGTGGTGGTTTGAAGGAAGCTATGGAAGGGAAATGGATTGTGTGTTTTCAATCTTTTCACACCTTGACAAACATTTAATTTCTATAAATACCTTCATGTGATGTTGGTTGATAGTGCTCTTCAACCCAGCATGTAACCCAGAGTGTCCTTTATACATTTTATAACTTACCAGCTGTTTGTTTGTTTTGGTTGGTTGTTTGAGACAAGGTTTCTCTGTGTAGCTATAGCAATTCTGGAACTTGCTCTGTAGACCAGGCTAGCCTCGAACTCAGAGATCCACATACCTTTGCCTCCAAGCGTTGGGATTCAATTCGTGCATCGTGCATCGCCACCACCCCGGAGCCAGCCGATTCATTTTAATGAATTACTTAGGTCTCTCCCTAACTCACTATGCTGGCTTTGAACTCCCCACCTTCCTGCCTCAGTCTCCAGAGTGCTGGGATGACCTAATACTCCCCCACATCGTAAGTCAAGTTCTTTACCAACACAGCTAGTCTTCAGTTCCTTCCATTCATTTTATTCGTGGATTTGTCTATTTTTCTTTTTACTTCTATGCCCTCTTGACTGTTAGCTTGGCGGTCAGGTAGGCACAAATGGTAGTGACGATAGGAAAAAAAAAATGTTTTATCGCTTTAAATTTACTATAGAACGCAGAAACAAAGTAAGAATCACCGTTACTAGCAGGCCTGGTGAAGCCGGGGACAAAAGCAGAGAAGAGTCTGGACATTTGGCAACGCCCCTTGCCTGGGTTGGCAAGGCAACTGCTACCAGCTAGCCAATCGGTGGGATACTCACCTGCGGGGGCGGGGGCTCCACAGGAGCCAATGGGAGGCCGGGCCGATGGTTTCGCAGGCCAATGGGTTGGGCTACGGGGCGGGCTTTTTGATGAAGGGCCGGCGGTGGGAAAGATGGCGGCGGCTCCGAGACCCTCCTGGTGGCAGCGGTGGTGGCGGCGGCGCGCGTGGGCTTGGGACGGGGCCAGGCTTTTGCTCTTTCTCCTTCTGTTGGGGTCTGGGCCAGGGCCGCTGCATGTCAGGGCAGGTCAAGCGGTGGAGTACTTGAAACGGGAGCACTCGCTGTCGAAGCCCTACCAGGGTGAGGCGCCCGGGGCGAGGTGGTCGTGCAGGGAGGGCTTGGGGACCGAGCCTGGACTGAGCTCAGGGGACATAGTCACCGACGGGAGGGGGCGTCCGGATGATCTCTGCTCCTTTGAAGAGCCACAGGTCCTAAGGACGGGGGTCCGCCCCCCACCCCCGCCCCTTTCCAAGCGCTAGAAGTTTCTAGTAGGTCTAGGTAGGGCTCTCAGATGTCACCAGTGTCAGACTTGAAGGAAAGGATGTTTGGAGTTGGACAGAAATATGAGGGGAGAGAAATGAGAAAAATGAGAAATGGTTGAGGACCATTAGCGATGAGCCGGTGTTGGGATGGAGCGGTGGCTGCTCTAGAAATAAAGGGTGAGAAAGAACCCTAATAGAACTCGGTCGGACTGAGAAAGGAGGAAAAAAAATCTGTTTGCTGGTTAGAACACCTGCTCCTTCCCAGGCCTCGAGCCCTGATGATGAAAGAGGCAGGTTAGCATTGCTCTCTTCAGGGATTTCTAGGTCTCTAAGCACAGCTCAGCGTCAGAAAATTGACACAGGTGTCTACAAAGAAGAGAAATTAGTGCTGCTATAGCTTAATACAAGTTTGTGTCCCTCTCCCCCCCCTTGCCCCCCCCCCCGCAAAGCTGAGGCTAGGGGGTGCAGGAAACAATTTCAAACTGCAGAAAGCTATACACTGTTACTAAGATGTCATGGTTTCACAGATGTGTGTAGTACCTGCTTAGTGTTGGTCCCTGCTGATACTATGGGTTAGATGGATTTTTCACACTGGAGATACTTAGTCTAAGGGACTTGGGGCAATCAGCTTCACACTTGAAAGATTGATTTTAAAAGAATGTGATTAAGCTCATGGGCTTTTGAGGGTCAATCTCTGTTTTGTTTTGTTTGGTTTGGTTTATTGAGACAGGGTTTCTCTGTGTAGCCCTGGCTGTCCTGGAACTCACTCTGTAGACCAGGCTGGCCTTGAACTCAGAAATCCACCTGCCTCTGCCTCTCAAGTGCTGGGATTAAAGGTGTGTGCCACCACTGCCTGGCAAATCTCTTTTGATATAAATGACAAAGTTCTTGTCCTTTCATGGTGCTGAAGTTCACCTCTGCATATAGATCTCAGCTCTTGTTACTGTGTCATGTGTAAATGACAGCTCTGAGGTGCCTTGGAATCTTCAGCTGCAGGACTTAGCTGAAGGAAGTTTTGTGTGATGGCAGGTACCTGTGGTTCCAGTAATTCAGGAGGCTGAGGTAGAATATTGAGACCCTCATTTAGAAAGGAAAAAAAAACCCATGTATTCATTAATACTAAAGGAAAGATAATGGCTCCAGTTTTTGTAGGCTCTGGCTTTGTGACCCAGTTGATGAAGAATATGAGCTGATTTTCCCCCTCCCCATAGGTGTGGGAACGAGCAGTTCTTCGCTGTGGAACCTGATGGGCAACGCCATGGTGATGACGCAGTACATCCGCCTCACTCCAGATATGCAAAGTAAACAGGGTGCCTTGTGGAACCGGGTGGTAAGAGGCTTCCTGTGTTAGGACCCTCAGTGTCCTAAAAAAGCTCAGAGTGACTTTGACATGACTTTGTTGTATTCCCAGTGTTCCATCTTCTAAAGATATTACAAGTCTTTAGAAGGCTGGAGATATGGCTCAGTAGTTAAGAGGACTGGCTGTTCTTCCAGAGAACCTGGATTCAATTCCCAGCACCACATGGCAGCTCACAACTGTCCGTAACTCCAGCTCCAGGGCATTCCGCTCCCTCACACAACATACGTGCAGGCAGAACACCAATGCACATAACGCTAAAAATAAATAAATCATTAAAAAGAAATGAAAAATCGTTAGGTTACAGATAATGATGAACTTCATAATATAGAAATTGGATATTTCAGGCAGGAGAGATGGTTCAGAGGTTAAGAGAACTGACTGCTCATCCAGAGGTCCTGAGTTCAGTTCCCAGCAACCACATGGTGGCTCAAAACCATCTGTAATGGGATCTGAAACCCTCTTCTGGTATGTCTGAAGACAGCTACAGTGTACTCATATACATAAAAATAATCAAAAAAAAAAAAAAGAAATCGGATATTTCTCAGCTGCTCTATTACAACAAACTAACTCATTTTTTCATTAACTTAGAGCAAATAATTCATTTTCTCCTTAAACTGACATAACACACTTTAGGGTTTAGTAGCTTAAATTTTATTATTTTGTTAAGTAGAAAACTTTTGTTTTTTTGCTGTTATTGTTGTATGTTTGTTTCTTAGCATGTAACCCAGGCTGTCCTTGAACTTGATAATAGTCCAGGCTACTCTTAAACCTATGAGCCTTCTGCATCAACCTCCCTACTCTGGATGTATATGATACTATACATCTGTGGTTCAAATTACTAAGGGGGGCTATGGTAGGGGAATCAGTTAAGTCCAGAAATTCAGTCGAAGCCTGGGCAGCATAGTGGGACAGTGCTGCTAGATACTTAAGTAAATACTAAAAAGTATTAAGAAGCGCATTTATCCCAAATGTAATCCTAGTGGCCTTCCCTTGTTTCAGTCAAGAGTTTGCTTCTGGTTCCGTATGAAAGTCACTTTAAGCCATTTTAGGTCATTTGTTTGTCCCCTGAACCCTCTCTAGCTACCTTGTTTTCCTGGAGATATGATGGCAGGAAGGAGCACCTGGAGCTGCTGCACCGTGACTCTGTGCACGTGTCCGGGGATGCTTTTCACTTCCGGGTCCTCCCGAATCATGCACAGCCAGGTCACCGTCACGGATGACCTTGGCATCCTTGGTGTTTTCTCCTGGACTCCCGTGAACGAGGGCGGGAAAATCTTATACTTCCATGGTTTTTCTCATTAGATGATTCTCATGTAGATGCTTCTAGTGGATCTCATAACAGAGGACGGTGTTTCTTCCCTGTTCATTTGTTTCTATCCAAGAGCTGTAAAGTAGTAGAGGGGTGTGAGCCATCTACGCAGGCCGACCTCGGAACCTAGTCTGTAGTACAGAGCTCAGCGTGGGTCATGGTAGGTGACGTGAGGATCAGTTGACTGGTAGATCTAAGTCCAGCTTGAAGAGCCCTGGACAGATCTCCACCTGTAATATCTGCTTGACTTACCTGTGAATTGTCAGAATATAGCCAGACAGTGGGCATGAAAAGACTTTGTGTTCCAGTGGATACAGAAATATATCCTGTTCTTAGACCTGCTCTCAGCTTCACTGATGGGCTCTTGTGGGTTATTGAATTATACGAGGCTTAATACCTTAATATAAGAGTCTTTGATACCTATGTTCTCATCAGAATGAACCAAGGAACTATTTTAAGATACATAGTTTGAGCAAGTGGTTCTCAGATTTGGCTGTCCACTGGAGTTGATATCTGGATTCTACCTCAGGATGCTGATTTAATTAGAATAGGGTACAATTTGGTAATTGGATTTCCTCTTTTCTCTCTTTTTTTCTTGGGAGCAATTTGGTCATCATATTCCTTTTTTTCTTTTGTTTCTTTCTTTCTTTCTTTTTTTTTTTTTTGCAACATGTTTTCTCTGTGTAACCATGGCTGTCCTAGAACTTGGTCTGTAGAGCCCAGGCTAGCTTTGAACTCAGAGATCTGCCTGCCCCTGCCCCTGCCTTCCTAGTGCTGAAATTAAACATGCGAGCTACCACCACTGATTTGGCTACAGGGATTTCAAACATGTGGCAAAGTCTCAGAGCCACTCTTAAAAATCACCATGAATAAAACTGTATAGCATTGTGATACCCAAGGCCAAGAATTAGTTGCAACTACCTGTTAACTTAGCGTAGGCTTCTCAGGTCCTGCCCTTTTTGCAGGGCCATTATACTACCTGCTGGCTTCAGGACAGCTTTCTGCTTGTCCTGAAAGTTAAATGTTAAAAGTTAAAGCGGAGAGATAACTCAACGTGAGAAGACGGACTAGAGCAGACTGTTGGAGACACCGGGGCTCCCTGCTGAGTGGGAAGGCATCCACCTCCTCTCTCTGTGACTCTGTACTCCTAACACCAGTTCTTCTGGATGATGGCCCAGAAATTAAAAATGAAAAACTGAACATGATGAAGCACTGTGTTGCTCAAGGCCCAGAACAATCTATTTGGAAAGCCTTTGGCAGAACCCAGCCAAACCCAGCTGAACCCTTCCCTTTCTTCTTCACAGCAGATTTTAACTAAATGTCTCCCCAGACCAAATACTGTACTAACCCCGGCTTCTCCTGGAAACACTACAACTGTGTCACACACTTAACTAGCCCCTCACCACCTCCCTTTTTATAAGGCTTTGGCACACAATTACAAAACTCAGAAGGAGCTAGCATTTGCCTCTGGCACATTCATCCTTCCTAGCCAAGGGCAACAAAGGTTTGAGGAACCATAGCTTACTGTATTATCTGCTCTCTTGGGAACTCAGGCTTGCCCCTCAGCTTGGCTGAATTCCAGCTTTAGCTAATTAGAGTTCTTCAATAACATCTGCTAATTATCCCCGGAAACCTCTGTGTGGGACTTAGCTTTTTTTGTTTTTATTTTTTTAAGTGAATGAGGTTTTGACCTTTCTTGGAAGTCCTACTTTTTAGAGTCTTCTTTATGTCAGAAGACTAATCTTAAGTTGCAAACAAGTATTAAGTCAGTCTTCTTTATCGAGTTGCGCTTCTGGGTAATGAAGGATCATGGCAAATTTATGTGCCTTTTCCAGCTTTAATGTACTCTTCCTGTTTCTGCCGGAAGATATGAAGATAATCCTGTGGTTTGTCCCTCTCATTCAGAGTCCCTTAAACAGTTGAATGCCTTGGTCTGTTTAGTTTTTTTTTACAGAAGTACTTTCCAAGTCTTAGATTTCAAAGCTGCTTTCCAAGTCTGTAGACAACTTCTCAGGGCTTCATGGGTTTCTGGTTTCATGCTCCTGTCTTACGCCTCTGTCTTCCTCACGTTAGCCATGTTTCCTGAAAGACTGGGAGCTGCAGGTGCACTTCAAGATCCACGGCCAAGGGAAGAAGAACCTGCACGGAGACGGCTTGGCAATCTGGTACACAAAGGACCGGATGCAGCCAGGTATTAGGGACCCTGGGTGCTCCCACATGGGTGTAGCAGGACTGTTTATTCCTGTGCCCTCTTTTTGAGACGGGCCCTTCCTTCTAGTTTTCCCTCTCCCTTGATGTCTGTGAATGAATATTAACCTGTTGTAGAATGGGGTCTGAGTCCTAAGCAGTCTGAACTTGGCTCTTCCGTGGACGAGTCCTTGCTTGTTGGTTCCTCCTGTGTTTTCCTGTGACGCCTGGCCACTGGCTGGCCGAATGTACTCTCTCCTGAACACTGGAGGCCAGTGTGCTAGTTTCTTCTGGACATATACACACTTACACTCAAGCACAAGCCAAGAGAGAATTCTCTGTTGTCCTTGCCACTCTTGGAGCCGGTGCTCCAAGTGGATGGCAGGCTGAACCTGATTTGACCTGGTCTCTTGCAACAAGAAGTGGAACCTGGGAATTCAGTTCTCTCTGGGGGGCAGAATCGTCAGCATGTGTTTGTGAAGCAGAATTCTGTAGGTAGGGTAGCCTTAGCAACCAGTTTGGAATAGGGCGTTACTACAGTACAAACAAGGTTACACTGGCCTTCCCCCCTTTCTTGCCTCTAGCAGCAAACTTCTACAGCTGTTCGTGGGCCCAGATGTAGGTGACTTTGCTGGGTGCTTTCATGTGTGTGCTCATCTTAGGAGATGCCTGCAGCCATTTGAATATCACCCTGTCCTCTGCCATGTAAGATCTCTCCCTTTGTCCACTCTTGGCTGTATGTCATTGTTCATCATCTGTTCTCTCTCTCTAGGGCCTGTGTTTGGAAACATGGACAAATTTGTGGGGCTGGGAGTGTTTGTAGACACCTATCCCAATGAGGAGAAGCAGCACGAGGTAATGGCGAGTGTCAGAGCTTAGGGCAGCTGCACTGATCCCAGCCCTTCCCCCAGGAGCAGTGCCCAGGAGGGAATGGGAGAGACAGTGAGGGCCCATTGTTGACCTTCAAAGGATAATGTCCTTGACATCTTTTCTTTTCTTTCTTTTCTTTTTTCTTTTTCTTTTTTTTTTTCTGGAGAGAACTGCCTGTGATCCAGCAGTCCTTGAGGAATAGCTGTTAGTCACACTGGGTGCTTTCCTATAGTGCCACCAGGGTTCTCATTCATTTCTGTAAGGTAGCTGCTGGAAGTGAGCACACTTGGCTGGTGGTTTCTTGGCTTCTAGATTGAAGCCAGAGCAAGGGGAAAGATGGGTGCTCCAAGCTCTACCCCTCACTGTGGACTCTCTTCTCCACTTGCCCTCCATTTCCAGCATCTTTATCTTCTCCGGCAGCAGGTCCTATCACTTATAAGAAAGGGTTAAGTAAAGAGAAGTTGATGAAACTGCTGCACTTATTCATAATAATATAAGGTCTCACCATGTAGCCCAAGCTGGCCGAGTCCTGGGATTACAAACGGGGCCACTATACCCAACTCAGATCTAAGCATCTTGATGGAACCCAGTGTCTAGACAGTGCAGAGACATTAACTACCTTTGAGGGTTCTTCAGTACTTCCTTATACTGGCACAGGACTGTATCCTCTTCTCCTGTGGCACTGCCGTGAGATGGTAGAAAACCGCTGACAAGCTGTTCCTAGGTACCCTTCAGAAGGCAGGATTGAGAGTGGGGATAAAGATCACTTACTTCCCACAAAGATTTATCAGAAACACATGTAAAACGTGACAGTGACTACTGTGTGTACCACACTCAGGTGTAATGGTCAGAATCTCCCAAGGTCACTTTAGAGGAGCTGGAAAGTGAGACCTGGGTTAGGTGAGTAACCTTCTGTTGTGGATCAGTTAGAACTGTGTTTCTGTTTCCTCTGGGCTCCTTGTTGTTCCAGGCCCATCAAACCCTTGCTAGATGCTAGGGCAAGACCAGCATTGTCTCTGTGCTCTATAGAGTGGAGATTGCTGAGACTCTGGGGCCCTTTGAGAGGACACAGTAGACTTATCCCTCCTGATGGGGCAACAGTAGTGGTGGCTGCAGTGCCTTCCTCCAGGACAAGGCATTTACATTGAGGTCTGCCAGATAAGGAGCCAGTGGTCCATGAAGAGGGAAAGCATGTACTAAGGCATTCTGGGAGGGGACAAGGAGGATAAAGAAGTACAGAGCTTCAGATAGAGGCTAGAAAGAAAGGGAGCAAACTCCTCGTTGTGTCCCACATTGCATGAACTGCACTCCTCCTGTTCGTTCTCTTCTCTCTTAGGCACACTGAGACTGTGCCTGTGTGGTTGTTAGTTGTGCTGTTAGATCATTCACAGCGTGACTCCTCTTTCCCAGTGAATGAACAGACGAGAAGCTGTGTTGTTCAAGGTAGCAGCCTTTGTAGGGTCTCCCTGTCCTGAAGCTCACCATTCTGGTGCTATAACCTCCACATATTCACTGGTTTCCTGTCCATTGATTTCTTTCTTCAGAGAAGAGACATTAGATATTTTCATATATGTGGTTTCAGTTCTTTGAGATTCTGTTCAGTCCAGAGAATGTAGAAAGTTTGTCTTCTTTTCGTCTCAGAGGATAAAATCAAATGTATTTTCTCAATGGTATGGCTTACTTTGCTTATTCATACAAGGGTACAGGGCATTGTTCCACGTTTATCATTTACTTGTAGAAAGTCTTTGTTGCAATTGTTATCATCTTTGCCCTGAGTAAGACTCTGAAGAGCAGAAGAAAGTCTGCAGAGCTTATTGGGTCACATAGGTCATAGATCTGACTCCAGAATCTCTGTCTCTGGGATTTTGAGTTCTTAGATTTGGTAACAAAAGCAGAAATGACAAAAACAAGCATAGGGAAATTGGGCTTCATCCAAGGGAAGAACCTGGGACTAGAGAGATAGCTCAGCAGTTAAAAGCACCAGGCCTTCTTCTAGAGGACCCAAGTTCAGTTCCCATTACCCACATGGTGGCTCACAACTTTCCATAACTCTACTTACGCAGTTTCCATGCCTTCTTCTGACATCTGTTGGCATGCATGTGGTACACAGACATGCATGCAAGAAAAACATGCAAACACCTAAAATAAATGTCTTTTTTTCTTTTTTTGGTTTTTCAAGGCAGAGTTTCTATGTGTAGCCCTGGCTGTCCTAGAACTCGCTTTGTAGACTAGGCTGGCTTCCAACTCAGAGATCTGCCTGCCTCTGTCTCCCTAGCACTGAGATTAAAGGCATGTGGCAAAGAACACTGTCAGGAGTAGGGCTGGTTTTGTAGAAGAATATTTGCCTCATGTGCTCAAGGCCCTGGATTCAGGTCCCAACACTGAGAGCATACCAAGAAAGTGGACTCACCTGAGGATGGAGGAAAATATATGCAAATCACACTAGAGAACCATTGCTAGAATATATAAAGGACTATCATACAAAGAACTACTACATCTTAATGAAAGCCAATAAAATAGGCAAATGAGTAGGTTTTATGTGAAGATGATGAATGGATGGGCAGTAAACATGAACTGATGCTCTACGTCATTAACTTAGAGAAGCACAGATGAGACCACGACCAGATCCTCACAGCCTCTCACTAGAATGCGGGTGCAGAGATGTGGGCGTCATTTGGAACCCACAAATACTTGTGGGATTTAAAATGATACAGTTGGAAAGTGGGCTAAAGATAGAGATTCTCTAATCCAGTGAATCCCCTTGTGTGTGTATAGCCAAAAGAAAAGTATCTACAAAAAGGCTTGTGTACAGACAGTCATAGCAGCCAAAACGTTAATATATCTCAAGTGTCCATTAGCTGAAATATTCAGTGATAAGATTTAAGTATTACTATGGGTGACAAGAGTTGGTTCCTATGAAATATGGTCAGATCTATAGAGACAAGGTAGAGGGGGTTGTCCAGAGCTGGGGCTCTCAAGTAGGGAGGGGGCGGGGGACTGCCAGTGGGCACAGTTATGGAGTGGTTAAAAATGTTCTGACGTTATGATAACATCACCTCAATTAGCACACACCTGAACCCACTAGGGGTGGGTCCTGTGGCACATAGGTGGTGTCTCCTCATTGCTGTTGACTTAGATGTGGTTGAAAGATGAGTCCGTAGCCTTTTGGCCCTAGGAGCCCATCCACTGAAGATCATCTTTCTCCTGTGATCCCAGATGTTGGTGAACACTTCGGGGAACTTGGTAGCAGCACCCTTGGAGCACAGATGTCTTTGTTCAGTTGAAATCAGAGTCTAGTAGCAAGAGACTTCCTGGAATGATGACAGAAAAGCGAACCTGTTGGCAGGCTTTGCTGTCTTTTTGTCTGTGACATGTTTGAGCCTCATGCATGGGAGGGAGAGGCAGCCAGGAGTGAGAGGAGCAGCTCCTCAGTCTGCCTTGATCAGGCTACCTGGATGTCGCGGTGCAGGCACTCCCCATATGTGTTGGTTCTCCTCCTTTTAACTGAAAGAAATGATGAACACTGATGTCTTAAAAACACGTTTCAAGCTGAGGAAATAGTGATAGAACTCATGCCCAGAAAGGGGAGAGCTCAGTCCCTAACACACCCACACTCATTAACACCACAGATCTGCAAGCACACGTGTGCACACCTTGTGTTCCTAACACACCCACACTCACTAACACCACAGACCTGCAAGCACACATGTGTGCAGACCTGTGTTCCCTTATACACCCATGCTCACTAATACCACAGACCTGCAAACACACGTGTGTGCACACCTGTGTTCCCTAACACACCCACACATACTACCACCACAGACCTGTAAGCACACATGTATGCAGACTTTGTGTTCCCTAACACACCCATGCTCACTAACACCACAGACTTGTAAGCACACATGTGTGCACACCTTGTGTTCCCTTACACACCCACACACTAACACTACAGACCTGCAAGCACACATGTGTGCACACCTTGTGTTCCCTTAGTCCTTCTCTTGATAGACTAATCTCTCTTGGTCTTTTAATTTTTGGCCCATGGAATCTTTTTCCTCCCTCTCTCCTTCTCTCCTGTCTCCCTGTCTTTTTTTTGAGACAGGGTTCCTCCATGCAGCCCTGGCTGTCCTGGAATTTGCTCTGTAGACCAGGCTGGTCTCAAACTTACAGATCTGCCTTCTGAGGTGTGTGCTACCACCATCTAGGGAATTTTTTTTCAAAGTAACTCTGACTTCTTAAGTTTTCTTGTTATAACCCTTAGATGTGACTTTTTTTTTTTAGTTTCTTAGATAATGATGACACTAAGTGTATGGGACCTGAAGTACCCCTTTTTCCATAACCTTTGAGGAGCCGAGAGCTGAGGTCAGGTCACCTAGTGGGAGGCGAATGGAGTTTGGTGCTGATAGAGTCCTGTGTCTCAGCTTTGATTATTGCCTGCTCTGAGGAGCGTGGGTTCTGCTCAGGCACTCGGTGTCCTTTCTGTTCCTGCATGAAGGGCTAGCAGAAAAGCGTTGTAGGGCCAGCAGCACTGGGTGTGGAAAGAGAGAGACAGGGTGCAGCTAGAGGTGGCATCAAGCACTGTGTTCCCTGTCTGAGGGCTTGAGTCGCAGCTTGGGAGAAGGCTGCCTCCTGGCAGCACCTAGGAGAGGAGTCGTTTGTTCTGTTATATGGAAAATCCAGAGGGCATCTTTACAAATGAAAATGTCACATCATATAGCAACTGTCTAAAGACATAATTACGAAAATGGGAGCATAAGAGTATGAATGTCAGATTCAGATAAATCATTTTGATAAAAGTTTCAGATTTATCAATTGGTAATCCGTTAGAGATTTCTAGAATATACTCTACTCATACTACTCAGGCTGGTATCAAACTTCTGGTCCTAGGTACTCTTCCTGCCTCAGCCCCTTGAGTAGCTGGGATTGTAGTCATGTGCCACTTTGCCCCCAGCCTGTGTCCTTCATGTGCCCAGGCATGCCCTCAC